AGCATACTTACTTCAACATCCCTAATTATTACAGAACAAATTTGGCAATACCATTTCGTTGCGCCTTTGAACTGAAAAACATCTGGTTCATCATGATAAGCCTGAAAGATACAGAGAGTGCAACAATTATTACCTTGTGATGGAAGCACTTCTCATGAAATACAAACTTACAATTGGAGGATGTACTTAAATGACTAATTTTCACTGGGTTTAAATTTCGCTGATTTACCATTTCAGGCATATTCGGTGGGTTTTAAATTCACGGTTTCATCATTTAGATAATGTGTTCTATGCTCAATTTTACATATTTTACCAACACTGGGTTTTAATTTAGCGCATTTCCCAGTCAGTGAAATAAACAAAATTAAAAGCCAGTAAATAATTAATCCTTTTACAGTACCGGTATATCCTAAGTTTGATCAACATAGTTTCCTGTTATTACAAACTGCTGAATAGATTTCATATGTTAAGGTAAGATAAACATGTACTGTAAATCTAGATTTAGAAATTTGTAGCTTTTGTTGAAATGCTACAATTCAACAGAAAGTATCTGGCATAACCACGTACGAGATATAGTGAATTTTTGGTTCTCAATTGTCCAAAATGAATGAGTGCCACTTTTATTAGCGATGTAGCTTCTAATACAGATTTCATGGTTATTTAACTCTAAATACAGTCTGAGTCAATACATGCATGAGATAAAGTTGTAGTAAAAATGACATAGTATTGTAGATGTGATATATATATATGATCTATTGGGTCATGTATTTGTGAAGTTTAAACTTGATTGGTCCAAACATATACGAGATATGGCTTTGTGGAACTGCATCAGGGTCCATAGCACAAACAGCCAAAAGATTTCCAAGACTTATCCAGACCTTTTCCCAAACATTTTGACCCTAATTCAAACCAACATCATCACAAAAGCTCATCGATCGGGGTAGAAACACTTTATAAAAAAGACTCTATGCAGAGAAAACGGGCCTTTCTAAAACTATGAAGAAATTTAAAGACTTTTCAAAGATTTTTTTATTTTCCTTGTAATTTAAAGACAACTCAAAAACTTTTCAGACTTCAAAAAATCCAAAGACTTTCATTGCATTGTATTTAAGAATAAATAAAATTAATAGTCAAAATTAAATCAATCTGACGTGGTTCATCGAACATAAATAGTACATATATACATTGTAATACCAAAATAATCAAGCTGGTGGTTTTGATAATGACAAAGGTACTTGAAAGCTATACTTTACTGAAGTCAATAACCACAGCAAATATTGTATCTAATTGTGATACAAATCAGTGTGCCACAGCAAAATATTGTATCTAATTGTGATACAAATCAGTGTGCCACAGCACACAACCATGTATGAATTTTATATCATTCTACATCTATATTGTACACTCATTGCACTCATCCTGTTTTGGATACACACCATCATAATACAAGGCAAGTGTAATATACAAACCGTTCCAGATGTCTTTGCTTTGCGCACACTGATACCATGTGTAGGACTATCCAAATGACGTACAGCTTCTGTATACTGAGTTAAATGAAAGAGAATTGGTCAATGACCTCAGAGATTATCAGTTCATAGTTGTACACATAACACAATCCCATCCAAGTACCCTAATACACTTTAATACTAGATGCAATACAGTCCAAGCATAAGGTAACACATAGTTTTAGTTGAATTAACTAGCATTCAAAACCCCCATCTATCTAAACTCATTACAAGTAACCTGGCTAGAAATGTCTAGATGATACCCAGATGATACCCAGTTTAAGAGTTACATATAAGTCATACTCAGGATAATCCCATTCAAGTCTGCATAGTACACTGAATACAATCAGATCTATAAGTTACCTTGAGTACACTGGACACTCGCTAACCTTGGTTAGTTGCCTGAATATGACTATTGAATCTACAAAGTACCCGAAATATTAAATCCGGTCTACCTAGTACCATGTATATTAATGCTACTGAGCCATTCCAGTTCCTGGAATATTATAATCATACTGAGTCTCCCAGTAACCTGAATATTTATTCTATTGAGTCTATTTATACCCTAATTATTAATTTTAATATCTTGAATACTAATCTCAATTAGTCTCTGTAGTACCTACAATTTGTAATCTTTTGTGTTGGCTTAGGGATTACAGCAGTAGCATTTACGTTAGTCTGGCTCCAGTTGGGAAATCACGCCCTCGTTCTTTGATCTATTATTTGACCCAAATATAGAAAACAATATGCATATGATGATAATAATAATTAACAGCGTCCGGATAACTTTCGGAAATTCCGTCGCGTTTCGGAAAGATTTAATTTTCACAACTTTTGAATATTTATTCATACTTTTAGGCTAGTGGGGAGGTTATAATAATTTTTCATTTCACTTTAACTCTGTTTTTTTCACCCCTCAGACCCCTTTGAAAAGTCACTTCTGGCCATTGTAATGGCCACTATTTTCTTAATGGCCAGAATACCAACCAGAATTTTTTTAATGGTCAAAATATTGACCAGTATTTTCAAACTGGTAGTTATAATGACCACTATTTTTACACTGGTCAGAATAATAGTAATTTTTTATTTAATGATGGAGTGGGTCACAATCTATTTTTTTAATGGGTATTATAATGATCATTTTATTTTTCATTACATGAATAAAATGGTCATTTTTTTTTTC